CAGCACCAAAAGGTTGTTGTCCTTCCTTGTCCTCGGTCGGTGTTCCTCCTAGACTACCAGGACCACTATCTGCTCCTCCAGTTGCACTAAACAATCAATTATTTTTCTTCTATAATATGATCATGTAAAATGACAATACTCAATTTCAATGACGTGAAAGATTGTAACAGAATGAAATAACAGATGGATAGTTATGAAGGAAATAAAGAATGATAAAAATATAATAAAATAAAATAAAATAAAATAAAATAAAATAAGATAAGATAAAATATTATTTTATAAGATATTAACCTGCTGGCATCGTCGTCCTTCGTTTGTTCTGTCGTGATCTCTTGGGGATTTTGTACGTTTTGAATTTCATTCGTTTCCGTTGATGGCACGTGAGTATTATTGTCATTCGGTCCACCACGACTCAATCCTGGGATACCACCACTGAGCCAACCAGTCATTTGAGATTTTACACCAACCAGCATGTCGAACTTGCTGCCTTTTGTGGGACTGTGAACGTAAAAACCACATATCAGAATAGAAGAATCACAACATTTGCGTATTGCTCTCTTTCCATCTCTTTTTCTCTTTTTCTCTTTGATATTCACATAAATCATCTCATCCCATGACCTACTTATATACGAGATAATAAATACTAAAGAGATTTATATATGAAGGTATGCTTCCATTCCTTCATGATGTTCTTTTTATCAAGAAGTTTATTAATAATAGAATAAGAAATTTATTCTTATTACCTTATTATATCTTATTTATATTTAATAATATAAAATCAATAATAATGTCTCTTCGATAATGTTAAATTATTGTATCGTACTATTTTGTAATTTGATACGGAGATCTATGGTGTTTTTATTTTTTTTAGATTAAGTCACATTGTAGAATATAATATAATAAATATTATATATATAACAAACTCACACACACACACACATATTATATATAAACACAAAAAAATCACTAGATTGATAGAACAATTCTGAAGGATACTTCCCCTTGTAACACTACGTATATAGATTTATATATTTATAAATAATTTAATTAATTTTTAAATGATCTATATATGTATTTATACATAGACCCATATATAATAATATATCTATATCTATGTTTATATCTATATATAGAATATAATATCCTAAATATAATAATATATTTCATTCGATCCATCGCAATTCTCCTATATGTGTAATTTAATTGAAAATAGAATAAGATAAAGTATCAATAATTAAACTTGTACGATAATAAATTTGAATTAAATATCCTATCCAATTACTTAGCAGTAGTGATACCTTACTAAGGAGGTCACGTACATGAGGGTATTTAAATGCAAAAAACGACATAGAAAAACGACGTGTTCTTATCTGTTCAATAGATCGTTCGATCTCTCTCTCTCTCTCTCTCTCTCTCTCTCTCTCTCTCTCTCTCTCTCTCTCTCTTTCTCTCTCTCTCCTTCTCTTTCTCTCCTTCTCTTTCTCTCTCATCGATAAGTCAAATCGAAAGCATTCCATCGATTTGCAGGAGGTGACGACACGTGAATCCGGAAGACATCGTTTCCTTTACAGCCATGAAAAACGGAAATCCTAGATAGCACGACTCTAAGGTGCTATCTTTCCTTATATCGTTGATACTAATATAATCGAATCGATTATTGACCCCCAAAAAAAAATGCTTTACGCTAGTATTCGGTCACTTACCGACTATTTCCTTATTCCTATCAGGACTATTATGATCGAAACAAGACCAAATTCTAAATATTTTTTTTCCTTTTTTCTTCCTTTTTCTTCTATTATTTATAAATTCAAATTTGTTTTGCATAACATTTACATAATTATTAATAAATTCTAGATATATTAAATATATTTATATTTTATATATCTAGATTTATATATTTTATCGTAAAGAAAATTAATTATCACATCATATAAAAAATTTCTTATATATTTTTTAGTATCATTACGCTAATACAAGTAATACTACAATTTCTATATTATACAATTTTTTATATAGATATGACAAAAAATTCGATTACAGAAGATCAATCATTTGTAATACCATGCAACTTTGAAGTCACATACTTGTATATATATTTGTTATTTTGTACAATTTTACTAAATCTTATCGTTATAAAATTATCTTATTTCATGCCTAAAATTTCTCATATATGTTTTTTTTTAATATAATTATACTAGTACAAATAATATTATAATCTTTATATCATATGAGTTATATATATATCATATATATTATATACATATATATGATATATATATATCATATATATTATAGAAAATTATATTGTTTGATTTTACAAACGTGGAATGTTTTAACGGCAAATTCATAGACTTATCATCAATTCAAAACGTTCCACGTTCGAGTACAAGCATACATACAAAAAGATAAGGGTGGTAGATGTGGATAGAGGTGGAGGATTTGAGAGGCAAGGGAGAGAGAGAATAGATATATACTTGCGTTGATATATCGAGAAACGAAATTGCATGCAGTCTTCGTGATACGAATTTTCGATAAAAGTAGAAATACGTTCGACGATCTCATTTTCGAATTCTACGATTCTATAAAATTCGTTAAAAGATCGTCTGATATAAACCGTTGTGTTAAATAAATAAATAAATAAATAAATAAATAAATATATATATATATACACATATATACATAAGTGAATAAATTTGAATGACGTATACGACATAGGTTTTATCTGGCGATAAAAATAAGCATTGCAAATGAGGCTTTTTCCTGTTCGTCGCGTGAAACCCTTTGCGACAATTTAACTGGCCGGTAAATGTTACACAATGTTCTTTTATTCTTTATTTCTTTTCTTATTCTTTTTTCTTTCTTCCTTTCTATGATGTCATACGATGAATTTAGAGAGAGAGAGAGAGAGAGAGAGAGAGAGAGAGAGAGAGAGAGAGAGAGAGAGAAAGAGAGAAAGAGAGAGAAAGCTCACAGAAAAATAATTTTCTGGAGCAGAGGTTAGAAAAAAAATCGATAAAAGGACACCGTTCTTTCTCTCTTTCTCTCTCTCTCTCTCTCTCTCTCTCTCTCTCTCTCTCTCTCTTTCTCTCTTTTTCTCTCGTTCTCTCTCTTTCTCCCTCTCTCTCTCTCTCTCTCCTCTCTCTCTCTCTCTCTCTCTCTCTCTCTCTCTCTCTCTCTCTCTCTCTCTCTCTCTCTCTCTCTCTCTCTCTCGCTCTCTCACTTCGCCATTCTTTCGACCTGTCGAGTATTATAGTATACTTTACCAATGTCAAGATCACGAGTCGATCGATAAAAGAAAATATAAATGATAACAAATTCATCGGCAAGAATTCATTAAAAATTTTGCTTACTTCTCTATCCTCCATCTCTATCCTACCATAATACAAAATATCGAAGTTTTAAAAAAGACAGGAAGAAAAAATCTATTTAAAAAAATAAAAAATCGTAAAAGGACTTTTCTCGACGAAAAGAGGTGAGATGGGATGGGGTAAGGATGCGGGATGGGGGGCCAGAGGAAGCAAGAAAGAGAAGAAACTCCATTTTCATTGATTGTTGTACGACGCATAGCATTGATTTTTTTCCCGGCGGACATTTTTGGTCATGCGAAAGTTCGATGTATCGAACCGTGTAATTTCGAGTGCGAGTAAGTAGTTTATATATATATATATATATATATATATATATATATATATATTTTTAAGTTGCATGTTGCAAATAAGGAAAGTAAGAGATTTTTTTAACAAGCTCGTAGAAAAACAAAAAAAAGAATTCTCCTTCCTTATATTGATCGAGGAAATATTTCAAATATTCTGAATATTTTTAATAGTAACGTACATATCTGTGTATAGGTTTAATAATGACAGAAAAAAAGAAAAAAAAAATAGAGAAAAAATGGAGGAAAAAATTCGTTCGAAAATTTCAGATCGTCGATATATATATATATATATATATATATATAAAATATATAATATATATATATACATAGCAAATAGATATACACATATGTATATACACTTCTATACATATATATAGAGGTATATATAACTAATATATACATACGTACATATACAGGTACATATAGATATATATATAAATATATATCTAATATATATATATATATATATATATATATATATATAAAAATTCGAAAGTACCATCTATTTCAATTTCTTCTCGAGTTAACCTCTTTTCGTTTCTCGACCGAAACGCGTCATAGTAGTACTTTACGTAAGTACAGTGCTCGGTTAGTATCGATCTAATCTCAAAAATATATACGTAGAAAGATTGTTCCGTCACTTTTAGAGAAAGAGACGAGCGATAAATAAATATATGGTCTAACTAAACATACGAAATTAAATATTTAAATATCTCTTGGTGTATTCGGTATATGTGCTGTCTCAAATCGTTTCAAAGAAAACTTTAATTTTTTGCTGATAATCTCACATGTATATTCATATGAACGTAATAGACAGACAGAGAGACAGACAGAGCTGCAGCAGTAGACAGAGGCAGAAACAGATAGACAGACGTTTAGCATGGCTGTACAAATATATATTACGATTGTACTCGTATGTGAATGCAACGTCACGACACGTTTTAACATCGAGTTTAACATGCTACGACGCAACGAAAGACCAACAACTGCTATAAGGTTCGTACATTTATTTCTCTCTCTCTCTCTCTCTCTCTCTCTCTCTCTCTCTCTCTTTCTGTCTCTCTCTTGTTCGCATAAAAAAATTAGTTTTATATATACGTCGTAAATAAAAGAGTTGGTAAGGATCGGTACAGGTCAACGACACGAGTATAACAATAATTTTTAGATATCTATATATATATATATATATATATATATATATATATATATATATATATATTATACAATTATATTACGAAATAGATAATAATATAATGTCATTAAAAATCATCTCTCACCTGTCTTTTTTCTCGCCCTCGACGAGTTCGCCACCTTCGACCGGTGGAATCTTTTCCTCCGGCGGAAGTTCTGGAGCTTCGTCGGCTTTCTTTCCCATCCAATTTGAAACTTGGTTCGTTAAACCGGAGAACATTTTAGACGTCTTATTAATGCGTTATCTACGCCCTTGATTACACTATAGAGAAAAAGGGGGGGGAGAAAGAGAGAGAAAGAGAGAGAGAGAGAGAAAGAGAGACTCGTAGTCGTTGCACTCTCCTCGTCGTTCTTTTGTCTTTGTCTTGCCTTCTTCTTTTTATTCTTCGTCTCTATTCGTGTTCGTATTCGTCTTCAATTCTTCCTCCTCCTCTTCCTCCTCCTCCTCCTCCTCCTCCTCTTATCTCCTAACTCAATTCCTTTTCTTCTTTCTCTTCTTCTCCTTCCTCTTCTTCTTCGGAAAGAGGACCTACGCCGCGGAAGTCTGATCTGAGCGAAGTGACGACGAAAATCCCGACCGTCCTCACGATCGCGCAGCCACGAACTGCGATAACTGCATGTGCGTGCGCGCACCTACCTTCGCGCATCCCCCTTTACAATAGCAGCGCCATCATCGGCCGAGTTAGAAATTAAATGGCGGGGCTTAGAAGATCGATCGATTCGTTACGACACGGCGTTGCTCTTTATATCAACTAATGCGCGGTACACTCGCGCGTCTTTCGACCAATTCACCTTCTATACCTTCTTTTTCACTCCTTAAAATATCGATCGAGTGACTCATAAAACCTTAATATTTCGACGACTGTGATAAATAAATTTTTCGAAGATATGTACATACACATACGCATATATATATATATATATATATATATATATATAATATATACACACGCGCACGCGCACACACACGATAAATATATATATATATGAGTATATATGGATAATATGTATATATATATATGTATATATATGTATATATGTATACATAGTGTTATCTCACAGATTTTTGTCATCTACTCTAATGATCGACCACGTCCTAGATTTCCTTTTGTCGCACTGCGTTTTGACCTTGTTCAAAGTACAAGATCGCATGTCGAAGCTATTTAAAATAATCGATATATAAGTTTCGAATGGAATTGGGATGTCCAGATTGTTAAATGTGTAAGCCGTGAATAAATTCTTCTTTACAAATCGAATTAACCACCACATCGGATTTCTTCTTTACCCGTACTTTATTTCAACAATCTTCAAGAATCAATTACAACAATGTCGATTAAAAGTATAGAATTTGTACACATCTATTACAATATTTTCGAATTAGCCGACGTTGATGTCAAATATATTCGTCATAATTAAAATCCTTAAATCGTAGTTTCGGAGGTAGAGTAGGAGCTCGTAGGAAGATAAATATATTTACAATAAGATGATGCACGATATTATCAATAATAATGCGGGAATGCAAGTCAATAATATAGATATAATATAGCGATTAAATGTAAATTATATCACGATGAACGAATGTTGTTTTTATTAAGTTCATCGGGTTTCCCGTTTGTACTTATGCTATTTGTAACAATTTCCGATGTATAACCAATATATAGTATATGATCGGTTATTAAATAATTTTGTGGCATCTTTTACATACGACATTACAGTTAGAAACGTAGACACTTGTTCTCATATTATGTAATTTATGTTACAACTTCCTACAGTGGTCGACGCGTCGATAAGTCTACATGGTCCGATTTGTACCATTCATCTGCATGCACTGCATGCATTCGGTATATATTATATGTATATATATATATATATATATATATATATATATATATATATATGTATATATTTATATGTATATGAATATTTATATGTTTAATTATTGATAAATCATCGCGTCTTTTCTGTATGCTTTTGTTGAATAAACAAAAAGCATTGACGACGTAATGTGAAATTTAATATCGTTCTAAATATTCGTACGAAATTTTCATCGATGTTCGTTTGAACTTCGAATCTGTACAACGAGCATTTGTACGTCAACGTACGTAATGCTAATTCTTCTTTCTTCTTACTTCTTTTTTCTTTTTTTTTTTTTTTCTTCTTTTCGCCTTAAAAATCGTTTTCATCCAACACTCGCCATATCTTCTTTTTCTAGGAATGCAATTTCGCGATAATTATTACTAGCTGCTTTTTGATGATTGACTGTTTAAAGCTGCTTGTTCTCGTTGATATCTAGAAAATTTTAAAATATTTATCAGTTTATGCATTAGAAATATTTCACGATAGAAAAAGGAATAGATAATCTATGAACTAATATAGAGAGATATTTTCATATTTATGATAAAAAAATTGATAAATTAAGTTTATTTGTAAATTTCTAAATGGTTCATTTCGTAAAACTAATGAACATATTATTGTCATATGGTATCTGAAAATAAATTCTAAGCGAACGATGTAACGTAATACTGTGGCATAAACGAACGAACAAACGAACGAAAGAGCAAACGAATGAACGAATGAATGAATAAACGTACGACGAACGTACGAACGAACGAACGAACGAACGAACAAACAGATGAACAAATGAACGAACAAACGACCGGCCTTGATCCTTGAAACCAGAAAAGAATTTATCCAAAGTGAATTGGCAAAGTAAATTTAGTCAAGTTTTCAACATTAACAAAACAACGTAATTAGTACTTACTTTATCGCTCTAGAAATTTGATAAAGTGCTGTACATGCGACAAAAAAGTTCACGCTGAAAAGACTCCAATTTTTTGGTGTGATCGCCAAAGAATATCTCGTCCAAATGACTCCAGTAACGGCCAATGAAGAAGACTGTCCAATAGAAATTTTATCGGCTGGCCTTTGTAAGTCGCCTAAACCTGCTATCACAAGTCCCTGCAATATGAAACGATACTGACGTATGTATATATAAATTTTAAAGAAAAAAAAAAGAAAAAAGAAACAAAAAAGAAACAGATAAAACAACTATCTTATACAAATTCGATACGAGTTTTACGAAATCGCAAAAGTTTTCCATTCCAATGGATACTAACGAGTTAAAACGACGTGTGCGTAGAGCTACGTTCTAATAAATTAATATCAATCGATCCTTGTACGTGGGACGTTACGTACGTCGAAAGTTCGACCTATATTAGTTTATTTAGGTCAGCCTAACTTTTTACCACGAACATGCGCTGTATATTTCGTCGAATGTGCGAAAAAGCCAATTTTCTCTCGTATCTCTCGAATGTTTTTTAATTTTTTTTCTTTTTTTTCCTTTTTTCTTTTATTTTCTTTTTTTTTTCTTTTTTTTTTAACAATACGACTGACGAACACCACTGACGGCTTAAACGTTACGGATGATTGATAATACGCGCATGTGCGTGAGCGAGCATATCAATACTCCGTTTTCTAATGAAAAAAAAAAAAGAACAAAAAGAAGAACAAAAAACGAGTCTAACGATTTTCTACGTTTCAAGAATATTCACTATTCAATGCAAAAAATATTCTAAGGAGATTGTAAGGTGATAGTTTCTCTTATCTTATCTATCTATCTATATATATATATATATATATATATATATATATATATGTATATGTATATTACAAATATGACCAGCGATTACCTTGAAAGAAGATCGATTTGCTTAAATACTAATGCCGGTAAATCACGAATACGGATAAGAGAAATCGTATTTCGATAAACTTCCGTGTAAATAATCATTATTTACTATTGTCTTTACATGATGAGTTTATCAATGCACTAAGTAAATATTTTCATCTTTGAAAAATACATGTGCATATGTACTTATGTATTTTAAAATGATAGGACCATTATATATTATAGCTCGATACTTTCGGCGGACAATATAACGTTACGATTTCTCATTTATATCGGATGATAATCTAGATGTGTACCGTTTATTCATTGAATATCGACTATCATTGTCCGAGTTTATCTGCCAATAATACGTTCAGGTCACGCAGCATCTCCGATAAAATCGCATATGTCACAGGATAATTTCTTTTGGCAATTACCATAGATTACTATAAAATCATTTACTAACCCATTTTACAGCTGGTGCCCAGAAAAATATGGTCTGTGGTCCTGAAAGCACAAATCCCATGGATACTTATTATCGAAGGCAGCTTGAACGACAGCTTGAAGGCAGCTTGAAAAGAACAAACGTTACGACATGTTGACTTTTTAAAATGATACATAAATATTACGAAGATTTAAATTTCGTCGAAAGAGGAAGGATATATATATATATATATATATATATATATAATATATAATATATATATATATATATATATATATAATATATAATATATATATATTATTATTATTAATTAAACTTTTCTTATAAACTTATATGCGAAATACTTGTGAAAGTGTATTTTATAGCCTTTGGAATAAATAAAAATTAATAAAATCCTCGACCGCATTAATGTCGTACTGAATCATTTTAAAAAATCGTGCTTCCTTGTACTCAAAATAATAATCTTAGAATAAAACCCGAGGTACTCTCAGACGTCGCATTGATCTACTTTTCGTTTCGGTCGGTCTTGTTAGAATTCAGAAAGAAAGTTCGACAATATACGTTGGTATAGAGTTTGTTATAGAGTACCAAAAACAAAAATTCAAACGATTATATCTCTTTCGACAATAATTTAAATATACCTAAATGCGATATCGCGTTTAATTTCTTTCTCTCTTGTTTTTTTTTTTGTACTATTTTTATAAATACAGAAATAACTTTTTCCTCATACTCTTTAGATATATCATATCTCTAGAGAGAGAGAGAGAGAGAGAGAGAGGGAGAAAAAAAAAGATCGAAACAACGAAAGAATGTAAAAACCAAATACAGTGGGATTTACAATACGCGCAGTTCCAAGAATTCATGCATATTATCGCAATGTAAATTATTGCAATGTCATTGTTCGTATTAAAATTCTCTTTCTTCGTGCTTTTCATAATAATATAAACGAAGACTTTATAGAATATAGATACACATAATCATTGACACTTATTTAATTTATCCCAATGATATGAAGAAGTTCAAGTGATAAATTATGATTATAATTTCAATATGAGTGATATAATATTAATATATATATATATATATATTATATATAGAGTTATTATATATATATATATAGTTATATATACAAAACATATACACATTCAAGAAAAGGAACCACGTGCCACGTTCTGAAGGGTTTCCGTACGTATTTAAAAGTAGTAGAGGGGGAGGGAAAAGGGAAATTTACTAACCGGCTGGATGATTCCAAAATGGTTGAAGTTTTTCAGGCACATATTTCCCAAGAGCTTTCATTGTATTTTTATATACAACCGACATGATTTTTCGTTGTTAAAGATTTATTACAAGAGAAAGAGAAAGAAAAAAAAAAAGAAACTCGCGGAAAGAAAGCTTGACACACAGAAAATCTACACAGGCCGGCGTCCTAGCACGAAATGACGCGCTGCTTACCCCCGCCCTGATTCTTACTCGTTCGCTCGCTCGCTCTTTCTCCCCACCCCTTCCCACTCAATATTACATATCCTAGGTCGTAACCTTAAAGGCGATCGCGCAATAAGAGCATAAACTCGTACGATATTTATTCATCCGCTTTGCTCTATAATCGAGATTTCCGTGTGGCAAAATTCTTTAGAAAATATCACTTCGGAATATCCAATTGTCCTATAGTTTAAATTTCTTTTATCCTTCTTATAACACCCTACGTTATTTCTTCTTTTTTTTTTTTTCTTGTCTTTTTTCCTTTGATGAACAATTATTTTCTTAATCGTATTATCTTCGTTTTTTAATTTCTATTTGTTTCTATTCTTTTCTTTATTTATATCTTTTTCTAATTCGTATTTTAAGGTAAATATGTTTTTATTTCTTGAATAAAAAATGTCTTCTAGAAAAGACAATATTAATACTCGCTGTGATATCGAGTTAATTAGTTGATAGCCGGAAGGTTTGATTATAATCTGTACATCTTGTGACGCGATGTACAATTCATGTTTTCAGATTATATAATAACATTTTGCTTTGAATAAAATTATTTGTTAGATTATAAACAATAAAAAAAAATTACGATTCGTTGTTATCTGTTTTAAGTATACGTGTTCAAATAAATAAAATGGGGTATCGTCTATTTACTAATTGATTAGAAACGAAGTATCAATGATTGACCTTGTTGCCTACGTCATACTGGCACTGGCCTAGAGTTTAGAATTAGAAACACCGTTGCGTGCCAAGCTGTATCACGCTTTGGGCGAGGCTTTCAATAAATAACTTGTTTTATCGCATGCCATATTGTTCAATAACATCATCGTTTCCGTGTTTACTGGACAATGGACTAATACAGATATATAGCAGTATGATTCGTGTCATCTAAAGTACGTAGATAAAAAATTTTAATATATCTTTAATATTAGTTAATAAATTTGTATCTAAACTAATTTGAATAATATCATTTATTTGTTTTTCTTTTTCTTGTGTTCGTTATCAGAAAATGTATAAACGATCTGCCAAAGTTTTTTAACAAATAAATCATGAAATCATGAAATCATGAATTTTAGACTATAGTATAAATGCAACGTATGTTAGATTACATGATATACTGTAAAACACACTCATCATACATTTGTATATTTACATCTTACAATTTAAAATGTATCCAACATTAAAACGGAACATACTATTTGATGAAGTAGTATGAGTTTCTGTTAAGATCCATGTAATTAAATTGTCATTAATTTTCTTTTTGCACCTATTCACAGTATTATTTGTTGGAATGCATAAAGAAAAAAAAAAAAAAAGAAAAAAAAAAAGAAAAAACAAATGTTGATAAGTATTAAGTGTTGTTAATTTCCAAAAAAAAGGAGCTATTGTTCTCATGATTTATACAAATATTTTATAGATTATGAAAGAATAGCTCTTAAGGTCAATGTTACGGGTTGCCGACAAACTGCACACGTTGTCATGGCAGGTGCACATTTAACACATGTAACCATGTGTCTACAAGGTAAGAATACTACTCCTAGTTCTGCATCATAACAGATTTTACATAATCTTGCATCGTCTATAGATTTATGTGCCTTTGCACCATGGAAATTTTCTTTACTGGAACTTGACCTAGAATTTAAATTATCTGTATCATTCTCCTCAGAATTATTATCAGAGTTTTCTTGTTTTGTGCCTTTGAAATCTGCTGAAGACGATTGAATCTTTTGAATGAAATTTGGTAAATTCATCTGCATTGTTTCCTAAATAAAATATAATGAAAAATTAATTCAAAATTATTATTTTTAAAGAAAATTTTTTTTCTGTAAATAATTCTTAAAAATATACCTCCTTGGACGACGCTGCTTTCTCTTGTTCTTTTATCATATTCACATAATCTTGTCCTTTTACCATTAAAAGGTAATAACATTTAGAAAACCATTTGGCATGTTGTTCCCAAGGATCATCATGTGGCTCCCAATCTTTCAAACCTTCGCCACAATGATAACATAAAGTTTGATCGCCTTTTCCTGTATAGAAAAATCCAGCGTTTGCTAATTGATCTTTCTTCTGTGGCATTGATTTAGGCCATGTATCAAAAGTACGCAGTCTAGCATCATAGCTTATATATTCTGGATGTACTGGTGACTTTGGCTTTTCAAGACCTAAAGATGCTAACTTAGTGGTACTTGGTAATAGTAATTCAAAAGAAGACATTGCATCACATTCGTTCTGAACAGATCCATTTTGAAATGGTCTATCACGTAATTCGCAAACATCTTCAGTATTTGATCTTGATACTGACATTGTGTTAGTATCTACATCAATAGGTACATTACCACACGGTACATTTTTAACAAAACGGCATGTTTGCGAATGCTTTATATGGTCTACCACAGAAACACTTTGTTCCCATTGATGTATCTCTACTCGACACTCGAAGCATCTCACTGTATCAGCTTCACCCACATAGTAAAAGCCAGCTGTTGCAAGTCTTTTTGGTTCTATAAATGTAACAGGCCAATTCTCAAAGCTCTGCAATCTAACCAATTCAAATCGATAATCTGGATTATCAACTTCGTCTACTCCTGGCTCTAATGACAATTGTGGTGGTACTGATGACATTACGTGTGGATTTTCTGAAGATTTGAATGACATTGAATTGTTTGAGAAATCTGCATGTTCAATAACATCTGTCATACTTGTTATTAACTTTTTAACTGTTTATTTTTAATTTATGTTTATTATTAATTTAAGATCTTCAAATTTTTGAAGACTCAAATCTATAAAGGAAAAAAATTACATATTTTTTATCAATCCAAAGTATACTATATAAACGATTTATGCAACAGCTAAGAAAAAGAAAGTATACTAACGAATTTCCTGCTTTCTATTATACGTTAAATTAAACACAAACTCAACTGCATCTAAATAATCTACATAAATATTCTCAATATATATATATACATACATACATATATATATATATGTGTGTGTGTATATATATATATTATTTCGTCCAAATTGAAAAAAAATGTTACGAGTATTAACAATTTCTTTGTAAACAAAGAGAATAGCTACCAACGTACCAATTTATTGTTTTGTTTACTTCTTGTTCTATTTCCTTTCTTACGATGAGAAGTGTAGTTTAAAAAAATCAGAAAACACTTGTGTACTTCTTTATTCGTATCTTTTCTGTCGATTAGTCCACTTCTTGTGAAGGATGATTAATGTGTGTTGATATATAATAAAAAGAGAGTAGAAAAACCAGAACAGCAGTTTTCTTGAACTTTCAGGTACTTTTTTGTCTACGAAATTGAAGAAATTTAATCAGCTACGTATTATTTTATATTTAATTATATATGTATAATAACGTTATTAAATATTTTGAAGAAATAAAAATACGTACAAAAAGAAAGAAAACTTTTCTTCAGTTAATATTATAAACCACACTAGGAACAAAGCTTCTATGCACTCCACGATGGTGGAAGGGAGAAAGAAAGAGAGGGATAGGAGGGACGACAAGTTCAGACAGGAACCGCGAGTTTAAATTACGCTTGCGTTGTCTACTCGCAGCGCTGGTGTCAATACAAAAGAAATAAACATTTCTATGACCTGATTCTCTCAACTATCAAAAATATATCCACAAAAGAATCATTTTTTGAATAATTTCTTAATACTGGATCAAAAACAAAATTTATATTTTAGTTAAGAATTAAAAGAGGAATGTCTGGTTTTGAAAATAAAATAATTTTGAGCAGGAATCGGATGAATTTATTTGAATATAATATTGTCAAGTCTTATAATTGTATAAAAATGGCATGTTTAATAATTAAATACTTCTTAAATCAGTAAACATATCTGTTATGCATTTTCTAATCCATTAAAATATATAAGTTAATCCATTAAAAGATTCATTAATGTATATTATCGATTCGTTAAAATATATAAATTTCAAAAAGATATGTTTACTTTACAAATCATCGTTACGACATTGCGATTATTAAACAGAAACTATACCATTATGCTTAATATTAATCTTTTTTGTCTTCTCGTTAAATTATAATACATGAAATATATGCGCATGTGTATATGTATATAAGGCACATATAAAAAACAGTGATCACTTTCAAAAATCAGTACATTTTTTAGAATTACACATATTATTGTAGAGATCAATCTTTCAAAATTTTTTATTTTAGTAACTTAAATATCTATAACGGTCTTATCTATAAAGATCTTATAAAATTACTTATAAATGTATATATAAATGTAGAAAAATTTCATTTTGATTACTCATAAAACATTCTTGATTAATTATTTATCAGGAAAAAAATATACTATAAAATAATAATAAATCTTACTATATAATTATATATTGCACTTATCATTTTTTTTTTTTTTTTTTTTTTTTTTTTATAGTATTGGGTTGATGTAAAAGTTCATGTCACTGTTTATATAAAAATTAAAGAAAAATTTTATTCGCTATTTTTAGTAAATTAATTAATTATTCATCAACCCAACATATGCAATATTTGAAAATAGGTAAAAATTGATCTATCAATCTCGAATATCATAATAATAAAATAATATATAATTATTATTAATAATTATTTATAGAAATAATGTAATAGTTTATAAAAAGGACAAATTTCTTAAATATATATAGAGCTATTCGAAGAAATTTGGTCCATTTATGGTAACATAAATTTCATAATAAAATATAAAAAATATGTTAATATATATACATATATATACAGATACATATATATATATGTGTCTGTATATATATATGTAAATATATACACATACATATATATACAGATATATATATATATATATATATATATATGTATATATATATATGTATATATATATACAAATATGTATATATATATATATTTGTTCAAATTCATAAAATATTAATAGTAATAGGTAATCTTTTAATATATAGAATAATGTTCCGGAACAAAAGTATTAATATAATAATATTGCAATATTGGAAATAATAGAGAAATAGAACACATATAGTTAGAATAATAAATAAATTTTACACATTGAATATGCAAAGATAAGTACAAAACTGTACGTATAAAACACATTTCATGTGTTAAATATTTTTAAAAATATTAATATATACAGGGTGAAATACAAGAACCTAACGATTTTTAAATGTTTTATAAAGAGACTTAATATTGTTATTTTTGTTTTGATAAAAGTCTTTGTTTTCCATATAACAAGGGCAACAATGTTATGGTGATCTTTCATATCCTGCTCGTTTACCCGATTTAACGTTATTGGATTATCTTTACAAAATTGTATTGTTCTCTATGACCCATCAATATTTAAAATGATAAGTAGAATTATTAAAATTAAAAAATTGAATTATTTTCTATTAACATGAAAAAAATAAATAAAAGATTCAAAACTTAAGGCATTATTTCATTAAAAAAATCTTTAGATTCTTGTGTCTCACTCTATATATCACATATTTATAATAGAACTAAGTGATAATGAAAATTCTTATTTCTTTAATACAAAATAGGAATTGTTCTTTTTTTCTTTCCTTATAATAAGTTAAATGCAATTGGCAATGACGTTAACATTCTTATAAGTAATACAAGTTTGTATAAAGTTTTTTTGTTAGAAACTTACATAGTAATAAATGCAAGTTAATACAGAATTATTCTCGTAAACGCAAATATTGAAATGCTGTTCATATAAACTATCTTAATATTTAAAATTTTCAAAAATTCTAAAAGAGAAAGAGAGCAATTATTTCATTAATGAAATAATAACTTTATATTATTCCCTAGCTATAATTAAACTCATTAATGTTTTCAAATATTAACAGCACCTATCATTATTATAAAATGATATGTAAATGCAACATTGCACCACTGTATGTAACAAATTTATATCATTGCTCTATGATATACTAAGAATAGGCAAATAGTTTGAATGTACTCACAGACCCATAGATGTCCACTGTAACAAATTTACTAAAGTCTGCAGATATACATACTTTTGGAATACAACTTGGTGGTAATTCAAGAGCGCGCAATAATTCTGACTTTTTACCATCTCTTCCTACTTTATATTTCCAATATGAAGATGTATTTCCAATTTGATTGAAATTTTCATTTCTTTGAAATATTTCAATTGATGAATTTGACAATGGAATGCGTGTATCCGTATTGAAGCATTCAGGTAATAAGAAATTGGAATCTGTACTAACAGAAGGTGTACTGATGCTGTGGAGAATTCCTTTACGACTTCGACGTTGTTTTTGTGTACCGTGATTGTTTAGTTGAATGTTCCACCAAGCTAATTCATCTACATTTACTGATAATAACAGAGGAACTTCTGCAGTGACTGGACCCCAATTTAATTGAGTAATAGCACTAGTATGAAAATAGAGTGTTCGCATAATCTTTTTTTCTTCTATATCGATTATCTAGAAATATATACAATTTTTATATTTCTTATAGGAGAAAAAATACGGTAATTTATAAAATACGTTTTATACATATTTATCAATATTTAGACTTACTGTAATATTTCCAGTTTTAAATCCGATTGCCAAATATTTTTGATCTTGTGAGATATCACAGTACGTTGGTTTATCCCTAAACGATTCTTTATGGTATAATTCTATTTTTATGCATGGAGGTGTTACAATATCGTCTTCTTGCAGATTATATAAAAATAAGTGTTGGTTTTCACTTAACAAAGCTAAAAATTGTTTTCTACAACTAAAGCAACTAAAATAGATGTTTGCATTTTTATTATCAACCGTTGCTTTACTTATTATTGTCCATTTGGTGCCACTAATATTATAAAGAATTATAACACCATTTTGTGTTACTGTTATAATATATTCGTTATGAACTTCATGAATTGAAATAATACATCCTGCATTTTCTATCAAATATGCTATTTTATTATTCTTCCAAATCTATTAATAAAAAGATATTGTTTAGTAGAAGAATTAATTCAAATTGTGGACATATTTAAATACACTTACCCTCAAAGTATCACTTGTCTCTCTGCATATGATAACCTCATCATTTTCAATTCTTATAAATTTTATAAACTTTGCACTTTCAGATAACTTCAATATATTGGTAGTTGTCTTACTTTCTACATCAAATAATGTGACCATACCTTTATCCGTTATATAAACAAGTTTTTTACCATTAGGAGAAAGTCTTAAACTTATTATGTCCCCATCAATAGGACTGGATTCTGCTATTATTTCATTGCCAAATAATATTACAACTGAATTTGTATGTGTCGTTTTTGCAATTACATCCTCTTCTCCAAATGATTGTACAAGAGCATCAAATAGAAGACTTCTAAATGAAATAATGAGACAATAAATAATTAATTACTGTTTAAATTTAATAAGATAATAATAAATATTATAAGCTGAAAATATGTTTTTACAGAATAAGTCTTCTTATACCTGACTTCAGTGGATGCTTCTTCAATGGGTAACTTCCATTTATGCAATAAATTGTTTTCATTACCGCAAATCTAGACAAAAATATATTTAAATAGATAATATATATTAAATATACATATATCTTGAATTATTATAAACATTTCTTATTCTTTCAAAATGTTTCTGATTTATTAATTAAATATTATTACTTACATAATGATAACCTTCATCCTTTAACCAATATGTATCTAAAGATGTCACGCGGCTTTTATATGCCGTGATAGGATGAAATCCACCATCTAATTTCCATACATTCACGAGTCCTTCTGAATCAGCTAACACTAAATAAAGGCCATCATATGTTATGGAAGCACAGACATAGATTGTTTTATCATTTTCTGCCTTTTTCTGTTTTTCATAATTACGTATGTAATCAGTAATCGGACAAAACCACTTTACATGAATGGCTTTCTTTTCAGTAACAATAATTAATGAATTGTCATGTTCTGGAACGTTGTGAAAAAAGATGACCTTTTGTTTTAATAGTACTGGATTATATTGTGAACTATAAGTGTATTCATTATTATCTTTTCTATAAGTTACAAGAAAACCACACGATAAATCCATTGTATGCAACAGAGAACTTTTTGTTGTAAATGTGATATATCTGAGGTAACTGTAAGTAAATTTTATTTAAAAAATTAGTAAGTGTGATTTATATTATAAAAGGAAATTATTTATATATAAACATATAATGTATTACTTACTTGTTGTTGTGTTTAGCAGATGTTAGAACATTTCCAGCTTTATCCCAAACCTGTAAAAGTATAATATAAATAAAAAGAATTATTCTCAATATTACAGATAATATAATTATTAAATCATATACCTGAATTGTTCCTTTATCAGTGCATGCAGCAATACGTTTATCGTCATGTCCGAATGTAACATCTAATATAATCTCATCTTCTATTGACAATCTTTTTATACTATTATGTCCATCGTTTGCATAAATATTTTTCCAAAATATTTGCTTCTGTTTTGGACTTTGGATATTTTTATCCCATTTATTAAAATAATTATGTAACGTAAAAAGTTCGACAACACCTTTACATAAAGTTAAAAAGAGTTCTCCATCTCCAGAGACTACTATCTTTTCGATTATACTTTCCTTTTCATATACTTTATATATTATTTGTCGCTTATGTTCAGAATTCCATTGTATTATTTCGCCAGTTTTATTTCCAATTAAAATTACTTCCGGGTCATCAGTAAAACACGTTGTATATGTATCTGTATAAACTTCTTCACTTTGTGTTATACTAGTTTGTTGCAATTTCGTACTGTGAGATAAGTATAAATTGTTGATTCTTTTCTTAACTAAATTTTTTGCAGTTTCCATCACATAACCAGAATGAGAATAATTCATGGCAATCTGTACCAAGTCTAAACATTTCTTTCTTCTGTGTTTGGATATATTACTAGCTTGTTCTTGTAAGAATTGTTCTATGTCTTTCACCTTTGTATTATAACTTTCATTATTATAATATGTTATATATTTTCTATATTTGTTAAAATCAATTAATAAATCACATAAACCTGTGTGATTTATCTTTGCTTCAAGAAAATTGAAGTCTAAATAGAGTTTGGGAAATTCTTCATGCAAATTAGCGAGATCTAAATGATGACCAATGTAGGAGTAACTGTAATTATCATTTGGCAGTTTAGAGAAATCATTATTGCAATTTTTACGATACTTTTCAATAAAGCATTTGTGCATTTTTGTAAGTTCCTCTTTCCCTAATTTTCTTTTTAAGTGGCACAATAAGAGATCATGTACTCCATATATATAGTAGTTCAAGTTATCATTCCATTTCATAACTGCAAGGGATTTATGGCAAAATTCTAACATTATTTCTCCAACTTCGAATACATTACATGACCAAAGAACTTCTAAAGTCTATTATAAAAAAGAAAATACAAATATATTAATTACATAATTGTATTTCATGTTATAATAATATTGTTGTAAAAGATTCATTGTTTTACCTTTGGTGTTATATTCACATCTTCACTAAAAATTGCTAACTGTTCATAACAGGTTTTTAAATTTAACGGTAAACGTTCGATAAACATGTTAAATACAGCTTCTTGCTTTTCCAAGAACTTCGTTATTACCCTTAACAAAAAAACTATATTTAGCAATAAATATCTTTGGAATTTTGTTTCATTTCTGTTGCTTTCTAATCAAAATACTTACATATTATTCGTATCTTTATTTTGTATACAGTTTAGATAATATTTCCATCTATCATCATGTATTTTCATATCATTCTTAAATTCTTCAAAATGAGCAGAAAACATAGCTATAAGTAATGGCATACCTTTGCACTCTTTATGAATTAACTGTGCTTCTACAGGAAGTTTATCTATATCAGTATCTAATACTTTAGCAAATAAACCTAAAGTTTCTGTTTCCGTAAAACCATCATTCATCTAAAAATAAATATGAAAGGAAATATTGTAAAACATATATTATAAATATTATAAAACTGTCTTAAGACAATTTTAATCTTTTATTACATTAATATAATATTATATTACTTGTATTATAATTCCTCTTCTTTCATCCAAAACATCTAGATCAGTAGTAATTATAAGAGTTTTGCATTTAAAATCAAACGCATTCACAATATTCTTATCATAAACATCTTCTAACACCAATAAAGCATTATGGTTTTCTTTCTTATTAAAATGATTTGATAAAAAAACTTTAAAAAGTTCACTGTCTAATGATTCAGTTAATGATTCAGGATTTCTTATACGATGATAAAGTCCATTTAATTGTTTCGTTATTTCTTCATCGATAAACTGTTCGTATCCATATTTATCGTCATGTTTATATTTGCATCTTTTATCATGTCCAAATTTAAGCCAATAAATTTTATTCTAAAAACAAAAATAATCTTATATAAAAATCTTAACAATTTTTATTTATTTATTTTAAATAATTTATTGGATTGATAAGTTCTTCTTACATGAAACAAATCTTCTGCTAGTTTTGTGTCATTTAAAGTACTAGCTGTTAAGCATGATTTACCAAATCCTTTCATTCCATGTAGAATGAGATACTCATTCGGTTTTAATTTCTTTAATTCTTCTGTTAACTTTTTCATCTGTGTAAGATTTTTTGACATTAAAGATTACTAATTATTGACACTATATAATGTGATATTTTAGAATATTAAAGAATTTACATTAATCAATAATTAAACTTACATAAATGTTTCCAAAGTGTATATATTAAAATGAAGTGAAGTAAGCATGATTAGAAAATGATTAAAATAATATATTAATATAATAAATTGTAAACTTTTTTATAACTATTTTCAACATACCTTTCCATCTCTAACAATTGTTAACGATGACATGGGTGGAAGAATTGGAGATTCAGCAGAATTCTTACCAGTCTTTTTTGATTCTAATTCATCCATACCATCGCTGAGCCATCTATAATGATGCTTTAAAGATTCACGGAAAGCATTAAATGCATTTGGTCCCCGTCTTATAAATAAAAATTGTATCATGTTAAAATTAGCAAAAAGAAGGGGGAAAAAAAAGAAAAAAGAAGAACTTTTAAATATAACAATAAAACTTACTTTGGAAGGATATCCAATAAACGTTCTGCCATATTTCTAAGACTAGTATCAGATTCAATGTATTTCACATCTTCTTCTTTTAAAATATAGTTACCTGCTAATACAGATACTATTCCATTACGTACATCCATATCATCCACTATTTTATCTCGTAATTGTATTAAAATATGTTGATGCAATTTCTCCATTTTAAAATATATTTATTTTTAAATATTTAACTGTATATAATATTGTAATGTATTCCTTGGTCTCTAAAAATATGTGTGACAAAAAATACAATTAAATTAAAGAACAAAAAAATTGTTCACAATACGCACAATAAAACTTTTCATAAACGCACAATAATTAATAAAAATAATATAATATTAGTATCAATTATAAGGAAAATATTTAAACCAGGAAATGAAAATGAAGAAAATGAAAAAAGGAAATAACATGTCTCACATACTTTTCCCTTTGTGGGCACTTGTCTACAATCTTATCGAATTTATCATAGTCTTTGTTCACAAGTTCACAAAACTACTATACCGCTCATTGGAAGAACGCTACTGAGAATCACAAATGGAATCTGCACGTACAGAACCTGTTCAGTGTTGCCATGTTTCTTCTATATAAAGTTGCATCTGATTGGTTTAAAACTGTCGTAAGATTCGCGCCATCGATTGTTTCCAAGGGCTCTAAGATAAACTCTTCTTTCTTTTTTTTTTATGTACATAAAAACAAAAATGTAAACAAATATACATTTTAAATAGCAATATAAAATAAATAGTTAAATTTCATTTTAACGAAAGAGGAAAAAATTTATCGTTCACGTATCTGATATAGCTTATTTTATGATGAGTGAAGAGAGATATCTCATATTTTATACGTCCCTGAGAATATCCCGTTATGATGATTTCGTAAAACGAATTTATTAGAGATTCCGTCATATTTTGGCCCATCACAAAAAGATGTATTTTTTTTGTTTCAGTTGACTCATACAAATCAATATGGCGGAAAAATAAATATTATTTTCAATATATTTAATAACTTTATGGCCATGATATTTCGTACGAGTCACATTATTTATATATCTATTAAATGTATATTTAAAAAAAATTATTATAATATATTATTATATTATAATAATTTTTTTTTTATAATATATTATTATTTATATTATTATTATTTTTTTTATAATATATTATAATATATTATTATTTTTATTATAATATATTATTATATTATTATAACAAAAATATAATTTTTTAAATTTCTATAATATTTATATTAAATTGTAAAACACTAAGTAACAAATAAAACATTAAAGAGAAAAAGAAAAGAAAGTGACTAAGAGGCTCAGGTTCGATTATTAATACTTTATCGACCGCTAGCCTATTAATCGGCTTTTCGATTGCCAATGCTTATCGACCGATAGCCTATTAATCGGTTTTTAGCTATCGATGGGTTTCGTCCAGTGGAATTTATTGTTTTGTTAGTAGGTGTATATTAACCTCTCCATATTCTTACGAATTATAATATTTTTATTTTTTACCGATTACAATGGATAAAGATTCGTTCAGATGAATGATAAACACAAAAACAATAAGCACAACACAATGAATAGCGAAAATTTTGTCGGTACTGGGAACAAATGTGCGCGCGACTAAGCCGGTCCTTAATGAGTGGCAGCCTCAACCACAACCGGTCGATAAAGTGTTAATATTTGTTTTTTTGTTTACACTAATTAAATATAATTATTAAATAAATGAATGTTATTATATTTGATAAAAAACAATATCAGACATATAATATAATTAAAACGTAAAATTTGATATATATTCTCTGCATTATTATTATTATTTGAAAATGAAAAAAGAAGAAAAAAAATTATGCATTGTATGCATTCACATTTAAATTATAACAATTATAACAGTAAAATATAACATACAGAACCATACATAACATACACACAAACATTTTCTTTTAAATCGATATTTCTTTAAAGAAAGTAACGACATGGAAAATATTTTTGAGATGTTACTATGCAATGCAGCCATGAATATGTTATAAAAATGATTTATCTTTTTCATAAAAGAATTTTTATTAAAATCAAAGAGAAATGGAAAGAAAATACTTATTTCTATGATTTATTTTCAGAAATAAAAAATATCTACAAAATATATTGATAAAAAAAATTCTGCGATGGCCGGGAATCGAACCCGGATCAACTGCTTGGAAGGCAACTATGCTAACCATTACACCACCATCGCAATTGATAATTCGAATTATTTGATATTATAAATATTTGGTAAATGTCTCAAATATTGGAAAAAGGTAAGAGGAAAAAAAAATATATGCATCTGCGATGGCCGGGAATCGAACCCGGATCAACTGCTTGGAAGGCAACTATGCTAACCATTACACCACCATCGCAGATATGAGAGCACATTCTTTAAATAGGTAAATATACATATTAGATCATACGAATAAAGGGAAGAAAAATAGGAAGAAAAATCGATTAAAATAAAAATCTTAGAATGATCAAATAAAATCAAATTCAAAAGTATCGCTTTAAAAGTATCTATATTATTAATACGCAAAGTTGAGAACGGATATCGCGAAAGAGAATATATATGTTTTTATCAACTCTGTTAATCTCTTTATTCTAGATTGTAAATTGTCTTTGACTAGATTGTAAGTTGTCTATGAGTCACACAGATATATAGAGAACGCATATTTACATTATTAGTATATTTTATCTATATAAAATATAATAATAATTGTAAAAACGTTTAATTTTCATTACAATGATAAGATTATCAAATAACAATGTGTGGAACAAAAAAAAATATGTATGTATGTATGTATGTATGTATGTATGTATGTGTGTGTGTGTGTATATATATATACAGATAATTACAAGAAGTTATTTATTACAGGTAATTACAAGAATGTAGGCGAATTAGTGATTGCCAAATTCAAATATTCAAATATTCCAATTGTATTGGAAATAATAGTAAATGCATTTTGAATACATTTACGAAGTTCGTCTTCTGTTTCTATCGTCTTTTTTTTAAATCAACTCTTGCGTGATCCCATAAATAAAAGTCCAAAGACATTATGTCAGATGATCTAAGAACTCAACTGACTATTGGAAAATTATTAATTCGAAGAATGTAAATAAATCATACATATCTTTAAAAGCATATATCTTTTCAATAAAACATTTTTGGAGATAAGTTTATATGAACTTTTTTCAATCATTTATACGTAGTATATGTTTGGTCCCATGCTTTTTGGACAGCCTGTATATATACACACACACATATGCGTATTAAAGGTTTTGGACGGATCGAACAATTGGCGATTAGTTTGTCGGGCGTACGATTTTATCCTTCATTTGACCGTAACCATCGGCCATTGATTTCGGAAAAGCAATGAACACACATGCCGCATTGTTTCCTGCACACCAATTTAGGGGCATTATCCAGGGGGAAATAATGCATATACCATCCGCTTTTCAAAGCTTCGCATCTCGCTAGGCAACTATGGTTCATCCGGAAAAATGAAAAAAGTTTCTCTAGTCCAACCACTGTCGGTCGCGAACATTTATTAAACAACCGGCAAACATTTCGAGTTATAGAATAACGTACGAAACACGTTCATATCAAGTCAACAAAGTGAGATAAGTTTTATGATTTTCTATGATTTATGAAATTCAGATCGCAGTGGCGTAATTTTAAATAAATGAAAATAAATATTAACCTTGTTGATATCGATTTTACGTGTGAAACTCGGTCGTTGTCGGTGATATTATTATGATAATGTTCCACTCGGTCCTTTCATTGTCAATTCGACGCAGGTGTACAATGTATTTAGGAATTTTCTATGGTGTTACGATCCGATCATACGATCATGGAAATAATCGATGAAAATTTGATTAACTTTGAACAACGTCGCTTACACCGATCTATATTATTAACCATCGGAACATCGTTTATTTCCATGACTAATTTGTCGCGTGTCTTTACTATATACATATGTGTATGTGTGTGTGTGTGTGTGTGTCACGTTGCTTTACTATATATATATATATATATATATATATATATATATATATATATACATACAAGCAAATGTTAGTGCACGCTCTATCAAAATTTATGTCGCTTTCGTGATACGTTCTCGTTATTCGAAGATCTTTCTCTCTTTCTCTTTCTCTCTTTCTCTCTCTCTCCCTCTCTGTCTCTTTCTCTCTTTCTCTCTTTCTCTCTCTCTCTCTCTCTGTCTCTTTCTCTTTTTCTCTTTCTCTTTCTCTTTCTCCTTATCTCTATATATCTTTAGTTCTTGGTATCTGTACATATGCGTATGCTTTCGTAATTCCGATATTCTCGAATCTTCTACTATTATTATATATTATCGATTGGCAACAATTAATCACACATTTTATCTTCGAATTAAATTATTGTCATATGATAGATGAGGCATAGACGGAAGTTCGTTGCCAAATATCGTTGACAAACATTGATTGACAAACATCGTTGATGTTAACATATATAATTTTTTAGGTTTAATATGATATCGTCATCGTCTTTAATGATATAAACGATGAACTTGTTTCACACAACGAATCGATCATCTTCTTCGATATGCGCATACACACACTTACTCTTATACACATACACATCATAACTTTCGTACGTGCTCGATATCCCGTGCAACGCATCACAGCTAATACGAACAATTATACTGATACGTTCGTTTTCCCCTTTATTCCCTTTGTTGTAAAAAAAAAAAAAAGAAATCTCATTAGGCGCGTTGTGTAAATTACGAACTCGCTGATCAGACTAGATGCACTTATCTTCGGATTTGCATATTGCGTGTAAGTACCTTGACTCGTCTCTTTCCGTATTGCAGAAAAGTATGAAGGGTTACATAAGCGTAGGCACGAGTCTTTTCTACGTTGACTATTTTTTATTAATGAATCAAATAATTTAAAATATATGTTTTTCTCATTGAAAACTTTGACTTAAATTTAAACATTTTATTAAAATGCATCTTTTATATATTTCTACGAATTAAATTGTACATAAGGTTATACTTCATAGATTCTTTACGAAATGTTTTATACTAGATCTCAAGTTTCTTTGAAAAATTTTAGATTATATAGGTTTACATAATTTCGAGGGCGGGAGGGAAAAAAGTGAAAAAAAAAAGAAAAAAAATAAACTACAAAATTCGTCTTATCTGTATGAATTTTTTTTTAAATTTATCCCTATTCATCAAAAGAAATTTAGCGTAATTTATAGCGATTCATTTTCTGAACCATTATAAATTTATTCTTATTCATCATAGTTAGACTTGCTTTCGAACGTGAGTTGATTAACTTAGCGATGCACTTTCTTTCTTTATTTGTTCGAATCCCTTTGGCACAAGCCCTAAATGCGCATCCAAGTAAATATGTATTTCGTTATACTACATTATCCCTTGCTAAGTTTGTTAGTCTTCCAAACAGCGATTACCCGCTTTGGGACAGATCGTTATCGGTTGTATGTCCACTTTCTCCACAGTAACTGGCAAGGGAGTACTTCTATGTCGTATAAACACAGCAATCGCTCTCTAATATAAGCTTTGTAAAAGTGATCTCCACATGAACACTTCCTTTTTACGTTATATTAAAGAAACAAAATATATAAGCAAGTTTTAAAACCAAATATATATTTTTAAAACAAAATATTGTAGAATAGATTGTGAATAAGTTGATATAATATAATATAATATAATAAGTTGGATAATGGATTACAATATTTATCATTTGTCGTATATTCTAATATATATATATATATATATATATATATATATATATATATATGTATATGTATATGTATATATTTATATATATATATATATTTATATGTATATGTATATGTATATATTTATATATATATATATATATATATATATATATATATATATATGTATATAAATATATAGGGTGTGCTGTTCATTTCGAAAAATTGGAATATTTCGTGAAATTCTGAATTTACCAAAAAAATATTTTTAGAGATTTATTTGGCATCAAAGGATACACCATATGGTGCCAATTTTTTTTTCTGTGGTTCAAGTGATGGGGAAACTTTTAAAGTCAAATTCATTTTTTTTAAGTAGAACTATATATTTATCTTTCCATAGTTCGATGACATTTGTGGTGACGAATTTAATCTTTTATTACATATGATTATTTAATATTGTAAATCGTTATAAATCAAATTATAAAATTGTAAGTTCTTAAAAAGTATAATCTTGTTGTCAGCTGTTAAGCTGCATATAGTAAACAAAGACTGAACTTCTTACGAAATAAATTTAATTTACTTAGGGTAGAAATTTAAAAAGAAAAAGGGAATAAGAAGTTCATACTTTCTTCAGACCAGAATTATATGGGTACTATATTTCATTACATTGTATAATATCTTAATACAATTTATATATCAAAATAAAAATGTATATAAACATCAAATACAATATATTTACTATTTATTATATTACTAATAAATAATGAAAATAAAAATATTTAACGTAAAAATTACTATCATTATCTGAAATATTGTCCTTACAATTTGAAATTGTGGATGAAGTATACATTTTTCCTGCAAGATGAGATTTGTATTAGGATTATATGATACACGCATAGGTGGCACAAGAAATCATGCCACTTCCAGATAAGTTATACTCCCTTATTAAAAAATTCAATTTATTGGAAGCGCGTAAATTTTTTCCTCCAAATCAAGATATGTATCAGGATCACATGATGCGGGAAGAGGTCATAAGCGAAATTGTGCCACCTCTACGTAAGTTATACTCTCCTGTTAGAAAATTCAAACCATTGATAGAGAGAATATCTTTTCTGCAAATCAGGATTTGTATCAGGATCACATGGTGCGTGAAACAAAGTCATGACGCTTCTCTTAAAATTATATGCCTTTGTTAAGAATTTTAAATTCTGGAAAAAGCGTACATATTTCCCGAAAATTGTACTTTGCGAACATTTTATTTTTGTGAAATTAAAAAAATTTGTTTCTGGAGCTTATTTTTGTATTATATATTTACTCTATAGAGACTAATATAGTAAATGGTAAATATTTGGTGTGGTAATGGTCGAATACAAGAAAAAACCCATTGAATTTTTATTCATCATAAACATTTATTTTAATTTCTATTTGTACAATTATACTTATACAATTACAATTACAAATACATTGTATATACTAGTTATAATTATTTAATCATATAAATTACGGTATAATATTTTACAATAATATATAATTTAAAATCGATGGTTATAGATAAAACGAAGACCGTGAGCCATGACATGTTTGAGCTTCGTCATGCTGAAAAAGCTCTCTTTGATGCCAGGGAGGAACCTAAACCACTTGCATGGTCACCGTATGTGATCATATTTCCTCCGTAATAATCTCATCGAGGAAGATGACAGAAGATCATTTACAGAAATGATGACAGGCAGATGGGTTTGTACTATCAGAGGTGATGCTGAAGGATTTGTCGAGACAGGTGTCGAGCGAGGCATAGTCCATTGGGTTGTCTTCGGATTATACGGCTACGCTGATGGAGGAGTGAGCTCATGTAACACAATGTAATATAATGTATAATATATTTGTATATATATATATATATTTAGTGTGTTTATATAATCGTATAAATATTGTATATATACTTGATCAAAACAAAAAATTGCCATCACATGATATTTCTTTCATACCAAACAATTCTGTAAAAAAAATTTTGTTAAAAGTTTTAGTCTTTCATGACATATACCAATTTTTCAAAATAAACATGATCGATATATATATATATATCGATCATGTTTATTTATTATATATATATTTATTATATATATATATATATATATATATATATATATATATATATATATATATATATATATATGTTACTTTAATCGACTTCGTTGTAATTGAACGAACTAGTATGTTAGGAATGTAAACTCAAAAAATGAAAATATTTTAAAACTTAAAAAAAAGAATCAAATAAACTGTGCGGTTTGATGTTAAATCTGATATTTGGTTTGTAAGACCAAATGTTCAGATTGAAAGGGATAGAGGAGCTTTAAAAATAAATTACATATTTTATTAGGAGATTAAAAAGATTGATTACTTGTAATATGCCTTAATTAATAATTTCAATGAGTTACGAATTTAAGATGGTGAATAGGATTGCGAGATATAATAATTACTGTTTTAAAATGAACTAGATTTTAAAATGCTTATGTGTCGAAGTAGGTCGGACGGTTTTCTAGAATGTTGAAGAAAGTAAGTTTCTTCAAGCACGTTAACTTTTCATTAAATTTTTTGATATATAAGAAGACGAAGTCATTTGCCGTTTGTGATGAAAGTTTGAAAAAATTATTATTGAAAGTCTACTCTCGGATATTTCAAAAGAATTTATGGAAAATTTCGTACAACTGAAAGCTCGGCCGACTTAAGAATAGAACTTTCAAAATATCTTTATTTTTTCCTGATTGGCGAACGATAATCAATTGTTAAATATAAGAATAAATTTTCGTAGGCTATTGTTTCCGTTCGTAAAGCGTAAATAATAATATCGAAGTGTTGTAAATATGTTCCTGACTCTATGACGTCCCCAATAACATACAATTTTTTTTTGTTTACATCTCCTAAACTATAGTCTCGTTAAACGTGCTATACCATCTAGTATAAGAGCAACGTGAAACTTAGTTCACGACTTCGTTTCGTTCGAAAAGTAATTTACTTTCCCGTTCTTTCCTCCCTCCCCTCCTTTCTCCACCAAGAATAAGTGACCAGATTACATGAACTTTTTACACGAACTATCTCTTTCGAATACGTTCGAACGTTTCGACTTCTCTTCCGGCAGAGCCGATAGTACAACTAACACGTTCACCACTTCCCGGAAGTTGAAAACTCTACTCTCGCTGAGCCCCTTATATTTATTTCTATCTTGTTTTCGCCGCGGTCCAACGAATATTCTAGCTTCGACCAAGCTAGAATCGAAAGATAAGGAACAAGAGAATGCATTATCGGGGCTCCTTGTCGTCTTTCGGATCGGGTTCCGCGTCGTTTAACCCTTCTCGATCGTCTTAGGTAAGTAAGAAAGAGAGATAGAGAGAAAGAGAAAGGGAAAGGGAGGGGGGAGAGAGAGAGAGACTGACTGAGATAGATTGGCAAAGGGTAAATTCGATCCTCTTTGAGGTCGATCGATCGACACCGTCGGTCTAAGCACTTCAAATAGTGCTATCGTGGTATGCGTCCAGGAATGGCAATAACGTTGATAGGATAGTAATATGATTATCACCTGTGCAAGAGGGCACCGATAGTGGTGCTACACGTATAATTGGAGATGGGATTGAAGGGGTGGATACGATGCCGCGCGTCGACGAAGTGGGAGGAGAGTGGGTTAGGTGGGCGGCGGGGTGGTTGGGTGGGGAAGGGAGGGAGAGAGAGAGAGAATGAGAATGAGAGAGAGTGAGAGGAAGAGAGAGAGAGAGTCAGAGAGAGAGAGAGAGAGAGAGAGAGAGAGAGAGAGAGAGAGAGAGAGAGAGAGAGATACACACAAGTATAATGCCATGCAAATACAGCTCATCACTTGGGTCCACTAGGAATAGAGTGCATTAATCCGCTAATGCACATGGGTCCCGTAAAATTAGATTCGGCCAGATTTAGCCGGAAATGCGATATTTCAGTGTCGACCGAATTTCCTACGACTCTGGTCACATGTATACGAAAAGAGAGAAAGAGAGAGAGAGAGAGAGAGAGACAGAGAGAGAAAGAGAGAGAGAGAGAGAGAGAGACAGAGAGAGAAAGAGAGAGAGAGAGAGAGAGAGACAGAGAGAGAAAGAGAGAGAATGAGATAGTACATTGGCTCGCTACGAAACGCAAATCGCGCGAAACGTAGTTACTCGTGAGCCGGATTAATGCCTGTATATATCGTAGGATACCTTTGGCAAGCCATTATCTCGATAATTCTTGAACAGCAACGTTACCGCGCGAGTTTCCTCTCTAACGATACCTCCTCTTTGCTTCGATCTTTTACAATATTTTATGAGTCTAACGGCATATCTAAGACGAGTATATTATTCCTAACTATATGTTTATTTGGTAATTCTTTTTCTTTTTTTTCTTTTTTTTTTTTTTTTTTTTTTTTTTTTTATTGTCGTCTAAAACGCATTACGATTTATTTTACATTTATTTCGATTCGTCTTTCAAACAACGATCGAAAGATAAGATCGAATAGATTTTCGATATGATGATCTTAATTTTTAGAGATTTAACTCACGAATGTTATAATAAACGTTACTTTCGAATTAATCAATTATTCGGGTCCAATTAATTTTAACGAATTCCCCTGAATTCACGTTTATTGGTTTCATTAAAGCAACTCGACTGTACGTACTAACTTGTTATCACTCTCTCTCTCTCTCTCTCTCTCTCTCTATCTATCTATCTACCTATCTCTATCTCTATCTCTCTTGTTCGATGACAGAAGCAGTTCCTCCTGCAAGCACGTTCAACCGGTGCACATTCTGCAGACTGCAGCATTCAGAATATGCCTAGATTTGCGCGTTCAGAGTGAATCGGAAGCGTGAAAATGCGTTTATTCTCTCCCTCTCTCTCTCCCTCTCTCTCTCTTTCTCTCTCTCTCTCTCTCTCTCTCTTTCTCTCTCTCTCTATCTATCTATCTATCTACACTGTCAATGCCGATCCTGTGATCCTGAGCCTATATTCCGAAAAGGGATATGCCCCGCGGGACACCGACGTTCGGAAACGCTCGGACGTGCTATTATCTACGATTTGGTAATTAAATCCTTTTCGATTCGATACGATGTGGATCCAAGGACTATCCTGGATCCCATACTCGCCATTGTTATTTCACTTCCGTTTTTTTCCCTTTCCTTTCTCCATTCCGATGATTATTGGAGAACTTGAAAAATTCTCGAAAAACTTGCATTAAAAAAGAAAAAAAGGAAAAGAAAAAGGAAAGGAAAGAAAGAAAGAATAACATGGTTTTATAAAAAAAAAAAAAAAAAAAAGAAAAGAGAAAGAAGGAAAGAAAAAGTAGAGTCCTTTATTGAAATAAGTCGATTTTCTTTTATTTTCCTTATTTCTAATAACACACTTTCGCAACATATGTTTTTATTATTTTTTGTTTCTTCTTTTTCTTTTCTTTTTTTTTCTTTTTTTTTTTACTGGACTTCGATCGATCGTTTTAATTGTCTCTAATTAAATATTCTTCTTTCTCTCTCTTTCTCTCTTTCTCTCTCTCTCTCTCTCTCTCTCTCTGTCTCTCTCTTTTCTTTTTTTAATAATTATACCGTTCTCGATATTCGCGGAGTCATCTCGCACGGCTATAATTATTGAAAAGTGAGGGTGAACCTTAGAAAGGTAGGGAGGACTTTCGATGAATTCGAAAAACTGAGGAAGATCGATGCGCACATGTGCGCGTTAGGTAGGAAAAGAAAATTACGATGATGCGCCATATTGGGAGAAACCGTTTTCCGGTTTTATGTCGGAAGTGGATGATGATGATGATGATGATGATGACGACGACAACGTCAACGACGAGCGACGACCAAACGATCCCTCGACGTATATACATATGTGTCTATGTATTTACGATATATATATATATATATATATATATATGTATATATATTGTACATACGTATGCCTATCGACACGAATATGCTAATGATTGGCGTACGGCGTTAGAGTTATGCTAATTTCATTATGATTCACCGGAGCAAACATATGCCGTTTTGCCGTTTTATTCCGACCACCTGCAAAGCTTTTAATTGTGTCTATGAATTATTAATTGGACATTCTTAACGTCCCATTTTTTATTTTTTTATTCTTTTTTCTTTTATGTTTAATCCCTACTTCCTTCCTGTAATCGTTTTGTGATTTATAATAATCAACTTCTAATATCACCAATAATTGTTAAACGTGTTACTCAAACTAGTTCGAATTTTTTTGCTACGACGAAATAGATTAGATTAGATAAGATCAGATTAGATTACAATGGACGATGTAAACGAAAATAAAAAAATAAAATAAGAAAGAAAAAAGAATTATATATTTATGTAATTTATTATAATTATATTCATATACAAATATATAAATAACTAAATAAATAAATAAATAAATAAATAAATAAATATATATATATATATATATATATGTATTGGATAATTATATAATTATATCTGATTATAATTGATAAGAAAGTTCACAGATGGCGCAATCAAAATCTTCCTAAAAGTTCAGCATGCCCTTCGATGAAAAATTTGGCCCTATTGCATATGTCAAACATCATAAAGAAATTCTATAACAAGCAGGATCTTATCTGTGCCAATCGCGACCTAACAATTCTAATACATAAATCTTTTTTCTACGACGCTCTAAGACTTTTATTGGTATCGAACACCCTTTTGTAACGTACCTTCGCTTCGTATTTTCTTCCAGGAGAATGCTAATTAACAATTGGCAGTTCGCGCGCGACGAAATCGTAAAACGGTACGTTGGCACGATCTAACAAGGCGTGAAGGGTGAATTAGGCGATGACGTCACGAGCTACTGAAAACATTTCGACTACTACTACAGATACCAGTACGAATACGTGAATTGATGTAACCGGTACTATCACGTCAACATCATCACTACTACTACTACTACTACTACTACTACTACTACTACTACTACTACTACTACTACTACTACTATTACTTCTACTACTACTATTACTACTACTACTGCTACTACTACTACTATCAGCAATGTGAGAGAGTCAGAGAGGAGAATGAAAGAAAAAGAAGAGGATAGATCCCCGCAGGCTCGTAAACTGGCGCAATGGCCCTGAGAAGAGAGAGGGAGAACGCTTTGGTCGGGCCAAAAAGCGGACGGAGGTCGTCAATGTTGATGATGCGTGGATCACGATGTACTGACGGCTCCATCATAGCCCTAACCTCCCACTCTCTCATCCCTCTCTCTCTCTCTCTCTCTCTTTTTCTTGCCCTCTCTCTCTCTTTTTTCTCTCTCTCTCTCTCTCTCTCTCTCTCTTCTCTCTCTCTCTCTCTCTCTCTCTCTCTCTCTCTTTCTCTGTGCTATTCACCTCTCAGTGTAGCCTATTCCATTTGCTTTATTGAAATAAGTTTCGTGATCGAGTCCTCGAACTCGACCCTTCCAACAATGTCCATGATATTTGATATTATCTAGTTTTTGATGGATAAGAAATGATGAGATTAAAATTAATCGAAGGTATATGATATTTTTGATAACATTGTTAAACCTTTAATGGCTATATTATAAGAACGACAATTTAATTCCAAGCAAAATTTTGTTTTAATATATTATTTAATAAATAATTATTTTATGAGGAGAAAAATTAGAAAGAGAAAGAAAGAGAGAAAGAATTCGATGTTCTATAATAATGGATTTTCATTTATTTTATTATATATATATGTATGTGTATGTGTGTGTGTATATATATATATATACTTAATGATAACTTTTAATGATTAAAAATGTAATTAGGAAAAGTATTCTTCAATTACCGACTAGTTAGTGACACCCCTCAAGTGACACGTATAATACTTACTTACATGCACACGCGAAGTACAAGTACTTACATACGAGTTACGTATGTAACTAATAATTACTTCGCACACTTTTACTCGTTTCCTTCTTTCTATAATATCTCTTTTATTTTCACTGTGTTCCCCTTTTTTCATACTCAGTGGGACTCTTTAAAGCGAGACGTTGATGAAACGTTCTTCTTTTTTTTTTTTTTTTTTTTTTATTATTCTTTTCTACCGCATTGCGATTAACTCGTATCTACGTAATTATAATTAACCTTCGATCCAACGGCTATCGTGAGCTTCCGGACTCTAGGAAGTTTGCAGCTGCTATCACGTCGAGCGTTACGCCTACCTTTTTTAGCGTAAAAAGAAAAACAAAATGAAAAAAAAAAGAGAGAGAGAGAGAGAGAGAGAAAGAGAGAAAGAGAGAAGCGGATACATAGAACGGAAACGTGACCGTTTGATTTTGTTTATGAATAAATATTACGTTTATTTATTTTTTTATTCGCTTTTATTTTTCTTCGTCATTGGCAAAAATTGGTTCAGATTGTATTAAGCGCATTTTTTTCTTACGTTTCCAAATTCGACGTTGATATTTTGATCATTCATGAATGGTAAAAATATTTGAAACTAAACGAACACGTCGAGAAAATGAAAGTGATAAAAAGAGTATCGTGAAGATATAATAAGCTTTTAAATAGAAAATCGAACTATCGAGAATCGATCTGTCTCTCTTTCTCTCTCTCTCTCTCTCTCTCTCTCTCT